AAAGATTAGCTATTATGAATCTATATAATAGTGTTTCACATTGTATATGTGATGTTTCTTAAACAATGATTATTATTATTAACATAATTATTATTGTACCAATTCTACAGGTCTGGAAAAGAAAAAATGAACTGTTTTCCCCAATGTATAGAACTACATGTAGGCAGTTGGTAAAATGATACTCTTTAGTCACGCTTTAGTTATGTGTGTGGTTTTTTTTTTAAATGTCTCACATGTCTCTTTAGAAAAGGTTAAATAATTTTAATACTTGAGAAAATGTAACATTGAAAAAGCAACATTGAGCATAACAAAATGGATATGCTCACAGTGACTAAGTGGAGAGTACCTTGTTTGAATTCAGTTTTTATACCCACTGTTCCGTGGTTATATATACACAAAAGAACTTTAAAAAAAAGTTCATGGAAAACAGTGAGGCCAAATGGCAATGATTTCCATGAACTTTTTTTTTTTTTTAATCTTAAAGATTTAGTTACTGAGGTTAGAATACCAGTGTATTGGTTCAATTACCCAAAAATAAATGATTTGAGTTTCTAAAAATGTTTATTATCTGGTTACTTTGAAATAATATGTTCTTGAAACTGACAATATTTCTAGTATTCTGCTATTTATAAAACAGTACTTATGTCCATATTGGTTTCTTGCCATGAAAAAAAAAAATTTAGATGCAATGGAAGCAGCCTGTATTTTTAAACTAATTTTGGATTTCCTCTTGCTATAAACCTGAAATACGTGTGTTTCACCATATATTGGTAATCGATTTTCTCATCTTTATTACATTCATTTATTTATTTATTCACTTAAAATGTTCAGTCATATCATACAATTTTTAAGTGTATGATTATTTTATATTTTTATATCTTATATTTTTTATATTTTATCATGTATATATTTATTTGTTCATCACTGAAACTTTTCCATGAAGGGAAGGAAAATGTGTGTAGTCTTTGTCTCTATGTAAAAACAGATGCTTGCCACACTGCAATTCTATATACATCCTAATAATCAAAGTGCAATCGAAATTTGTAAGTGATACAGTCATTCAGATAATTTGCATTTAGCCTGTACTGATTTTTTTTAAGTCCTTGGAATTCACTGGAGATATTTGTAGAATTGACCATCACCATGTCATCTTACTTTACTACAGACAACATTCTTGTTTTATTGGGAGGATGGTGATTTTCTATAAACCTAGAATGTTTGTTTGACGAATGTATAAATACATGTTTTTATGGAATGTGTGGACAATTTCTTGACACCTGGTTTATTTCTCAATCTGTGTTTTACACACAGTGCCATTAAGAAGTTTCATATGCGTCAAAGGTATGCCTAGCAGATGATGGCAACGTAATTACATAATATATCATAAATGATCTAGCTTTTGAGCAGCTGAATATTACTGCAAAGTTTTGCATTAATCTGAATGACCTCAGCTTTACGGCTGTGGCGATTCCAGAGGTGATAAAATGTCAGGTCCGTGCAAACGAACTGTCAGAATAAGCCCTCTCCCGTGTCCATGTGTTGAAGGGATCATTGCCAGCTGCAGTGTTTTGTTAGAAACCTCTGTGTCAATGAATGTATCTCCCTTCCTGCTAAAATATCTGTCATGGAAAGAGTGAGGAATCCACTGTTTTCTGTATTTGCGTTCATGTGCACTAAAATTTCAATGCACGAAGGACGTGTGAGCCACTGCTTTGTTTGTGTTACATGTTCATTATGACTCGTGCATATGAACTGAATATTACACATTTATTCAGTGTCTTCAGCGATGAATATTTCGGTTTACATTATTTGCCAATGCTATTGGATAACAATTAGTTGGCTTTATACTCTGTAATGAATTTTAAAGCAGCCTCTAGTCTAACAAGAAGTGTTCACATATGTTGATATTTTTAAAACTTGAAATTTGCATCTCAGCATGCTGTCTGAATGAGGGTTTTTTTTTTTCCACCTGCAGTCTTCATTTCAAAATTTAAAATATTTTTTCTCACGCATGAGGGTCTCTGTTTTGGCAAATTTTCTCATTCTCATTAACTGGAAAAACTTGCAGCAACACTAGAATGTATTATTTGCCTTAATATTCAATTTATCTTTCTTTTTTCCCCAAAAAAGTAATGTGTTTGTTTGAAAAATGCACCAACTCAGATAGTCTTCTTTCTCCTTTTATTAACTCCAGAATTGGCCTCATCAGCAAGATCTGTGCCAGGGAACTGCCAGAAACTAAAAAAAAAAAATTCATCCAGCTTTGCGAGACGAGGGCCTGTCCCCAAGTAGTTAGGCCATATTGTTGCTTTCCATGAAGCATTTGGCAGGCAGCAGGGAGCTGAGTGGAAACCAAGCAGCTGGGCCTGAACCTACAGTGCTGATATGCTTAGGCGTTCAACACTGTGCACCACGATGCTGCCTTTACCACTTGAGCCTTTTAGTGTAGTATCCAAGTCTTCCGATGACAAGGTGACGCATAAGCATCTTGTAATATCTCTCATTAAATGAAATGGATGGTGTCAGCAGAAATATCACTTCAGTTAGAGCCGTCCACACTCAACCCCCAGAACCAGCGCACACTCCCTGTCCCCGCTCGCGGCCTATCTCAAGTACAAATCTACTTCTGTTGCAACTTCCCTATGCGTCACAGATCTCCGTCTTTCAGCTATTACCTTAGTAATTTTTAACTAAGTTTTCTAACTAAATATTGTCCTGGAGAAGCATTTTTGATATGGTAGTCACATAAACGTCGATTGGCATGTGGCAGCAAAAAAAAAAAAAAAAGTCAAGAAACTGGTCTTATCAACGATTTATGTATACTTCGTAATTTCCAAATTAGATTTTAATTTTTGTGACATATTCTTTCCACTTGGAGCTTTTATTCACATGTTTGGCTTAAGACGATCATAACATGTGGAAGTGGATGTGATCGATTGCATTACTGTATAACTAACATTTAAAAAGGAATCAAGGAAATGAAAACTAACTGACACGCTCTGCTTCCGATGTTTTTCCCGGAGAAGTTCTGGATAACTTCAGAAACGTGGATGTGCGATTTTTGTTAAACAGAATGAAACACTAATTCCACTATCCTTCGATCTGTGAGCAACTCAGGAACACCACAAGAGCTGGGATTTCGTTTTTAAATCATGAAATACATTTTTTTCCCTTGAGAAAGTAGATTGCCACGGCCACATTGTTTTATGCTATGTCCTTATGGCTAAAGTCACAAAAATCTTCCTTGAATTGGTCTTTCTCCTTCTGATGGACAGCGGATGCTGCATATGATGCAAAAATTTGTTTTCTTCCTTGCACTGAGAACTTGAAGCTTAGCTATAGCTCTAAGACCAGCAACTAAGCATCTCTGGTGAATGACTGTGTTAAGAATTTAGGAAATAAAATCTTAATAAAATGAATTAATCCCTGCCTATGACATGTTGCTAGTTTGATCGCTGCTGTAATTTTCCCTAGGCAGGCTTCCTCCATGTCTGTATCATACTGTAACTGCAGGGATTTTTAGTTTATATATTTATTTGTTTGTATATTGTACATTTAGATATTTGAATATATTGATTTAGACATAAACCTCTTACAGCCTTTGAAATCAGTTGTACTAGTAATTGAAGTACTTAGTTCAACAATTATTTTGACCAGCACATAATAGTTTTTGTCTGACACGTGAAGCATAAAAGCTTTAGTTTAATATCTAGCTATCTTGAAAACATCTGTTCCAATAAGTCAATACCTATTGTATATAAATAGTATTTCGAGATTTATTTATTTTTATTGGAAAGTCAGATATACAGAAAGAAGGAGAGACAGAGAGGAAGATCTTCTTCCGATGATTCACTCTCCAAGTGAGCACAAAGGCCTGACTGCATTGATCTGAAGCCAGGAGCCAGGAACTTCCTCCAGGTCTCCCACGCGGGTGCAGGTTCCCAAGGCTTTGGGCTATCCTCAGCTGCTTTCCCAGGCTACAATCAGGGAGCTGGATGGGAAGTGGAGCTGCCGGGATTAGAACTGGCGCCCGTATGAGATCCAAGGCAAGGACTCTAGCTGCTAGGCTACAGTGCACCGGGCCCTTTCTTCTTCTTCTTTTTTTTTTTTTTTGTCCTCAATCACTTGCTTTCCTTATTTTTATTTGAATAGACTCATTGCACCCACTTGTTTGTATAACTGTTATTTAACCCATTAGTATTTTGATTTCAGTAATATACACTATAATGTATTTATGTACTAGTAGAAAACAGTTATAAAATTAAAAATTACATTTATATTTGCATTTTTAGGAGTCTTGTACGTCTATGATTCTGGCAAGTTTCACACGCATAGAGATTTAGCTGGCTTTGTGCTCCACCTGGTGGTCAAACTGAACATTATACTTTTACTTTTTTAATTTAAAAAGGTTGATATATATTATATACTAATCCGAAAGTAACTGGCAGAATGCAGTTTTAAATTTACTAAACAAGAGTTGATTAATACACGTTTTATTTCATTTAAATACATTGTTGGGTATGATTTTGATTGATATTATTTTATCTATCATATTTTGATTATTTTAAACTTTGTAACCTAATTAGTCTTAGAAAACATCATCCCTCAGTATGTGAATGCCTATGTATCTATGTAATCTTTTCATCTGGTTTTTGCATTTTGGATTCTACTGTAATAGACCAATTAATTACATGGTCATCCCTGTTCTCACATTTGAGATTTGGTGTGCTATGTTTCAAATTTGTAAAAGAATTCTCCGCAGTTATTCTAACAGTAGAGTTTACCATTTATCAGACCCAATTAAAAGTCTAGGGCAGAAGCTATCGACGTGAATAATAAATCTGTTATCCCCGATACCAATCTTGAACAATAAATTGTCTTTACATTTTGTACGACACTGTTCTAAGTTTGGATTGCTTTTCATAAACTGTATTCTCAAGTCTGGCAATCGGACCGTATTCTAACTTCACTTTCCACGTGGGTGATCTGTGTCTCGCCAGGCATCTTCCATCTCAAAGTGCCTGAGTCTTCCCCCGTTGGCTCAGCGATCGGAAGAATAAGAGCCGTGGATCCCGACTTCGGCCAAAATGCAGAAATCGAATACAATATTGTTCCAGGAGATGGGGGCAATTTGTTCGACATCGTCACAGATGAAGAGACACAAGAAGGAGTCATCAAACTGAAAAAGGTACTTTGACAGCTAGACAATCAATACTTAATCGATAAAAATAAAAGTAATAGGAAAAGTAAACAGAGCAGGTATAATTTTGATTTTCCTTTGTTTAAAAATATTTTAAACAGAAAACACCAATCTTTTGGCTATGAATCACTGGTCCACATGGGCATTGTTCTTCTGTGTTTTGATTATTATATATTATGATAAACACTAGATCTATCAGTTTTACTAAAATAATTTCAAATTACTCTTAACATAACTTAATGATTTAAAAATTTTATATAGAATATTTATCATGTTTATTCATCCTAGTTTGCATAACTTATGTTTAGTGTACAGGTAAATTAAACTCACGTGACCTCTAACACAATTTTGCATTGGTGCTGAATTTCCCAAGTACACTTAGAAAAATTCTTTCTCAATTCATTTCTTTTTTGATTCTGTAGTTTTTCCTTTTCTTTTCAGAAAGAGATCAATTAAGTATCATTAGCTTGTTTTCTAAAATGTCCTGCCTAAAAATCACATTTAAATGATTTACATAAATCAATTCTGATGGAAAAAGATAAAAAGTGTCTTAATAAGAAGAGAAATCATAGAAAATACACTGTGTCAATAGTTAGTAAAATTTACACTTGACATTAAGTGTATCTTCAAGTAAAATTGAGGTCCAAAAGTCAATATTATGTATATATGCACATAGATAAATTTATATGCGTATATTTGTTTATATAGTTATAAATATATTGTGTGTACACATGTGGTTTATATCTATGCTTTCATTTTTATTTATACCCACTGGTCATCTTTGCTGATAAGTAACTAGTTTGGAAGGACAGTTGTCAGTCTCATTATAAACAATTGAAAAATAGTTGTTATCTTGTGTGAAAAAGAGAGTCTAAATATTTAAAAATAACACTCTAGGTTCATTTAGAATAAAATCTGAATGCAATATTTTGGGTATGAATGCATCTAAAAAGTGTAAGAATGTAAATTCTATATTCTAAAATGTAACAGTTTTTGAGCATCATTTATTATTTTTGACTAACTAACTTGGAACTGTAATAGTGGAAGGAGGTACAATATGCTTTATTTAAAGGAAGATTTTTGTTTAAATCACTGAAAAATATTTTGAAAGATTTATGGTCTTAACCATGTATTTTCATTGTTGTTTTATTCTAAAAGCTTTTATTTACTTCTCCTTTGTACATCTTTGTCATTCCTTTATGGGAGGAAAGTCGTAGTAAATAAAGACTGTGACCACTTTTATACGAGCTGAGAAAAATGAAAAAAGGCATTTATTTAATTTTTAAACTCAATTCTCATTCTTTTATTTGCTACTATAAAATTCACATTTTCCTCTGTCACTTTGAATTCAGAGTAACATTGTGAAGCTTTAAAATTCCCAGCAAGGTATGTGAGATCTGACAAAGAGTAAAGAAACTGATTTCTCTAACGTTGTCATGATAACACTGAGCAAAATATTAAAATAAAAAATGTTCACTCCCCAAATGGCCGTGAATGCCGGAGTGAGCGGATGCAAAGCCAGGAGCTTCTGATATGCGATATCTCTTTATTCACATCCCATGTAGAATTCAGCATGTTGTGTAAGTTATTTTGAGAAATAGTGCCTTATTGATTCAACAAATGTTTGATCTGAAACTCAGAGGAAGAAAATGGTAGCTTTTTCAAATCACTTAGCTTTTGATTAGCTATACTTACGTGGGAATCCTACCTTTTCAATAATGTGAAGAATGACATATGCTAGATATGACCACTGATCTACCAGGAGTCACGAGTTATACGACATAGAAATTAAAAATGTTCATGGAGAAATGGAATTGACAAATAGCATAAACTTTCCATGATGTTTTTGAAGCCATGTCATATGTTTATATACCACATATATTCCACTTAAATATTTATAGTAGTTGAAATCTTTCGTGTTTACAGAGCGTCACTGGAAATCTGAAACTAGAATGACTAGACCTGTTTGTAATTCTGGTTTGGTGTGTATGCTCACGTTTATTTTTTTTCTTTCTCAGCTATCAAATTTCTTCACAATGCTGTCATTAAGACAGAGGCACTGAAAATAGTGTTTGTAATTCCTGCGTTAATTTGATAAAACTGTAAACATTTTTGCAGTCCTACAAAAAATGGTGCTCAGTAACCACTTGTTGATCAAAAAAGTGCATTTCTGACAAATAATTGATTTTGAGAACAAATTATTTGAAGTGTGTTTCATGATTTAAATATTTCATTTAGAAAATAGGAAATTCTAGTAAACCTGTTTTAAAGCTTATGCGCTTTAAAATTGTAGTTCAGATGCCTTTGAAATTTTTTTCAGAACTACAATCAGGAGCTGGAAATGTTATTGTTGTTCCCTTGGTATTAGGTAAATGCTCATCTGAGGTTAGATAATTCATTAGATAATTATTTAACTTTTTCATAAAACACTGAGTAGAATCCTTCCCTTGATGGCAGTGAGAGATGCACAAACTCCTCCAAGTCTTCTCAATGTATTCTTGATTGAGCATTAAACTAAATTTTGGAAAACGATATTTCTTTAAAATGATGCTTGTTCCAAACAACTTTGTAACTCGGCCTGATACACGAACCTGCTTGCAAACAGCTTGCTTCCGTTGTCCGCTTATCAAGTTCAGGCTGGTGTAAATCTGTTTTCTATCTGCTTTTCTTAAAATGGTTCCAGTCTGCTTAGATAAAGCCGTATCTTTTGATCATTCAGGATCCTTGACAACTGGCCTTCTTTTGTGCCTTAAAATCTACCAGATGATTGAGATGACAGACCTTACTACTAAATGGCTCTCTCTCTCCCTTTTCTCTCTCTCTCTCTCTCTCTCTCTCTCTCTCTCTCTCTCACTCTCTCTCTCTCTCTCACTCAGTCTCTCTAACTCTCTCTACTACCTGAAATAATGTATTTGCAATACGGAGTAGCCGTAAAGCCACATAGAGCAGTGAAAAGTGAAAGGGGCCATTTGCCTGCAGCTGTAATGAATCTGAGAATGGCTTAATTGTTCTTCTCTGGGGACCTTTCCAAGGGAAATTAAGGTGTGGATTCAAGCTGTGATTTGACCTGAAGCAGGAAGCACATTTCCAAGTTGACTGATTGCTCTAGGATTTCATTTCTTGGTGACTTCATATCTGAAGTCACTATTTCTCCAAGGTGTCTGTGCCTACAGGTACCACTTAGGAATTTGCTGTATCAGCTTCTATGCCCGAAATTTACTTTGTTCTAGGCCAACTGGAACTACTTGTTTACTACTAGTAGTAGTAATTTCTCTTATTAACTCAAAGTCAAGCTATTAACCGCTTTATTTCACTTGTGTAGTTTAGGTCTTCACAACACTTAACACCGATGGAGACGATATACAATTCAGTCCCTAGGAATGCTCACACACTTTATTTTGCACTTAAAGGTTTATTTAGTGTGTCCTGTACTTCAGCAAAGTGGTCGAAAACAAGCAATAAGATAGTATCTTACCTTAGTCCTCTCTTTTCACTCCAGGGAGCAGTTTAATGTGTCATATCCCATTTCTCCACAAATTCAGTTTCTTGCTTGCATAGCTCTTTACAGAGTAAATTGTTTGCCCCCAAATTGTGGCATCACCACAATATCCATCACAGACATACACTAAAGAGCAAGGAGCTACGCAACCAAATTCATCTCAGTAAATCATGTTCTTGCATTTTTTAGAAAGATTCAGAAAATAGAATGCCATAAGGGTTTCTCCTTATTGTTATAAGAGCTGATATAACTCAATTTCATAGCAATGTATTTCTGCCATGGAACTTTATCCATTTCCCAGCAGTTTAAAATTTTATTTTGTTTTATTCTTTTTTCAAATTGAGAACTTGTGTTGATTTGAAAGTTCAGTGCACTCCGTCGTATGTGGATGGTAATCAGTGGGCGGACAAGGTCAACCAGACAGCCTCAGTCTTCTCTCATCACTGTTTTTGTGCAAAATGTACAATGTCAAGTGGGTTAGCCTAAGAATGAGGATTTTTAAACGAATACATCCCCCTAGGACATTATTGTGGCATTTCTCTCACAATTTTCTCACTTCTTTCATCTCCATAGGGTGTAAGATTTCAGCTACCAAAAAAAAAAAAATGTGTACAGAAAGATTCTTTCATCTCACTCTTGGTTTCCCTGCCCGCCAAATATTTACCTACTGTGATAGATCAGGAATTCCTAAAAGACATTTGGTATGTCTGATTTAAAAAGAAGAAGAAGAAAATGAGAATTTTGTTTCATCTCTGTCTTGAAACAAGCGTGTGAGTGGGCAGTCAAGTTCATCTGGGCAGCTGTGATGTGCAGGCATTCAGGAGATAATGCTGAGATCGTTTCTTGAAAGGAGGCGCCCTGTCATACAGCTAATCAGAAGCGTTTCTGGGAGAAAGTTGAGAGGGAAATGAAGAACACCTGAGAGTAGTTGAGACTTGCTAAGCTGCGACTCTAGACCGGAAAAGGGATGTGGGCCAGGCCACCTTGACTTTCTATCTAGGTCGAAGCATTCGTAAAATATGAAAGCAGTCTATTTAGGTTACTGTCATAGGAAAGATGTATTACGTAGTGTTCACACAGCAATGAACCTACAAAAGCAAAAAAAAAAAAAAATCTTATTTTTTTAATCTGCGTGTTCTTTAATTGTGCATTGCATTCATTTTAATCAATGTGGAATACTTTATTTGTATATCTATTTAGTTTACATTTCTCTTCCCTGTGGTATGGTTCCGCAGGCACAGGTATTTTCCCGTTCACTCCTTCCTTCTCCTCAGAACGGCTCTAAGTATTAGAGATATCTTCCTTTCTCTAATCTAAAATTACTTTTTTTTTTATCACTTACTGTTAGCATACCACCACGAGACTTAGAGAAAAAGCCTAGGTAATAATCAAAATGATGGTCCTTCAAATATTTGAACACGCGTGCCCTGTCTTGCCGTGGTCTTCTCCCCAAAGCTCCCCTGTAGTAGTGTCTTTCGTTTCACTCGAGGGATGTCTTCCACCCTGTCTTTGGCAGTTGGCTGTCCTATCAGGAATGTTATTTAAGTCTGATCACAGCACAGTAGTGGATTTTTCTTGTGCCCCAAAGAGCCTCATCGGTCGTCCCGTTTTGCTTAAACGCTGAGGTTCTGGTCATGGGACCTGCTATCATCAAGCATGAGATGCCAGAGTACATCATCCTTTGTTTATATTGATAATCAGGGAAATAAAAACTTCTAACAGCAAAGATACAGAAATAGAAGAAAATGATACAGGGAAGAGATGGACAAGCAAAGATAAACTCTTGAGAATCAAGTTTATGAAATACGAGTAAAAATGAAATCAATCAGGTAAAAAAAAAAGGGGGGGGAGTAATTTCAAGGAAAATAAGTGAAGATCCTCTTGATGAAAATACTGTGGAAGATATGGAGGCCAAAGCAAGAAATAGAACTGGTTTGATAAAATATTGGTTGGATAAAAAGTTCTCATTGGAACTGTGAGAATTTTTAAGGATTTCACAGTTTCCCCCCAGCTCATAGAGGAGGAAAAGTGTCACATAGCAATCTTGGATTTAAAAGAAAAGCATCTTTTATTTTCCCTGGAGTACTAACAAGAGGTACAGATGTTGAACACTTATTAGTCATAATTGAATTAGTTACTGTGAAAAACTAAAATCTTATAAAAATTCCAGAAAATTACAGTGTTACTTTTAAAATTGCATTGCCCTCATTTTCCGTAAATGATTAGAATTCAGAACCATTGACCATAAACATATCACTTAAACAGGCACCACATGTCTGCGATGTGTATAGTTACAGAAAAGAAAAATCCAGTATTCAGAGTGAAGGTGACCCGACCATCAGCGACTCCGTGCAAGACCGAGGCCCGTGTTATGTTTCACAACCTTCTTTCCTGTGATTATTTTTAAATCATAATTGGGCAGTGTTTTGGCACAGCGTGTTTAGCCACCGCCTGCCACACTGCCGTAGGAGTGCCGGACTGAATCCCTGCCGTTCCTCTTTAGATTCAGCTTCCTGCTAAGGCAGTGGAAGAGGGTCCAAGTGCTCGGGCCCCTACACAGAAGTGGGAGACTCAGAAGGATCTTCTGGCTCCTGGCTTCAGCCGTTGTACCAACTGAGGAGTGAACCAGAGATTGAATTACTCTCTCGTTCTCTCACTCACTCACTCTTTCACTGTAACTCTGCCTTTCAAATGAATTTTTTAAAAAAATTAGATAAGCCACAATTTTTGGTAATCTATCCTAGTGGTATATAGTACTACTCATTAATTATATATGCAATTGTGAGGACACAAAGTAACAATAGTCTTCATAACTACCACTGGGCATACTGATGAATCCTGATACAGGGCTAATGAAGATAAATAGACATTGAGTCGGACTGGATAGCAACCGACATTCTTATCAAAATGGGTGGGGGTGGGGAGATTCTAAATATAGCCCTGTAGTTTACGATACCAAATGTGCAGCTGAAATCTAAAGCACATATTCCGTTATCCAATTCCACTCCTGTCGTGGTCTTTTGTTGTGTTCCACAGTTCCGCTAGGTGGCAGCATCGGATAAGAACAGAGAACTGGTGCTTCTGAACTGACTTGAAACTTGTAAAATGAACAAGTGCCATGTAGCACGCATGCTCACACGTCTATTTCAGGATTTTAAAGACTGCAGCTGATTTCCAGCACAAGTTACCTAGACACTTCTCCACAAGTGGTTTTTTTTTTGTTGTTGTTAAATATGTTTCCCTTCCCTTACTCATTAAATATAAAGGAAAATTAAACATGGAAATTAACTGTAATGTGTTATAATTGCTTCCATTGGAAGGAAAATGAGTCCTTGAAAATAACTGTAATTGATTATAATTGTTTTGAATGTTCATTATTTCTGACACGCCTACGTGACTATCAATGTCCCCCACCCCCGTCTTGATTCGTTTTCACAACAGCCGTTAGATTTTGAAACCAAGAAGGCGTACACATTTAAAGTAGAGGCCTCCAACCAGCACGTGGACCACCGGTTTCACTCCGCAGGCCCGTTCCATGACACGGCCACGGTGAAGATCAGCGTGCTGGATGTGGATGAGCCTCCGGTCTTCACCAAGCCGCTCTACACCATGGAGGTGTTCGAGGACACTCCGGTGGGGACCATCATCGGGGCGGTCACCGCTCAGGACCTCGACGTGGGCAGCAGCGCTGTCAGGTGAGAGCATGCGAGGCCTACACTAGTCTGACCAAATCTGAGTGATGAGCTAGCTGTGGAATGTGAAAATGGACCGACTTTACCTAAATGGAAGGCTGGGGAAATGCCACGCGATTTGAACAACCGTTGAAAAGGTGGTTAACTGTTGTGCTGTTAATTATGTCTTTCAAATTAAAAAAAGAAATCTTGATTTTTTCAGTAGTATAACCTCAGAGAATAGTATCCATTCATTCTACAGATGCTTTCACAGAACCCAGAATGTAATAGGAATTAGCAAATTTTATAAATACAATCTCTCTAGTCTCTTTCTCAAGTTATTGTTTGAAAAACAGGTGGTTTGATTTTTTTTTTCATAGTGATAGTTGCACGTGCTGGGTTTGAGTTGGAGTGTACGGATGAGCAGGCTGTAGGGTGTCATGGATTGTGGACTTGATCAAAGTCCCTGTAGTTTACAAGGATACAAGCTGTCTCTTTCACTCTCTCTGTTACACACACAAACACACATTCCCCCAGCACCACTGTGAAAACATGTCCCATTTCCTGACTTATCCATTCATTCTACACAATGCTTTAGGACTTGTACATTCTCCCAATCATCCAAGTGTCTCGTCACACACTTACAAATGCCATAAGGTATAAATATTTCCTCATCACATACCCAGGAGGATACGTGGGGAGACGCGAGATTGGTTTTTAAAATTTTCAAACTCTGAAAGAAGCAAACTAAAGAATACATTCAGAGGACTTTAAAGTGAAAGCACCGTTTTATTGGCATATGAACAAATAGACATGTGTGTCCTAAGATTTCACATCATGTGTTGACAAATAATGAACAAAAGATTGGAACGGATACGCAGGCACACCTGAGCACAGTAGTTACCTGGTGTGGACTCTTGGGAAAATTCAAGCAAGGAATGCAAAGATCCAAATCCCACGTTAGACTCAAGACTCAAGCATGAGCAACAGTGGAAGGCCACAGGGTGGAGAAGGGCTCTGAAGTCACAAGCAGTAGCATTTGACAAACACTGTTGTATGAAAGTACTTTTCCTAGTCTTGTTGGAAATAGCGGTCCGCCTCCCTAAAACTTTATACACAGATGAATCTAACAACAAGTGCGTGCCAGCTGAACACGTTGACTTACAAAGTATTAGCTTCAGCTAACTTGTTAGATAATATGGTACACATTTGTAATGTTATCTACATAGAGAACTCAACATAGTTAAATGCTAACATAATCATAAATCTAGCAAAATATGCAAGAAAATGTAAGCACTTCAGTGATATTTTAGTAAAACGTTTACTCCTGATTACCCATAAGGATTTACTGATAGGAACCACAACAACTAAAAAAACCCTTATGTATACCTGTATGAATCATGATCCTATAGCTTTTCATATAGACCTTTTAAATATATATGTATATATATTTATTGCCAAGTCAGATATACAGAGAGGAGGAGAGACAGACAGGAAGATCTTCCGTCCGATGATTCACTCTTCAAGTGACAGCCACAGCCAGTATTGTGTCAATCTAATGCCAGGAACCAGAAACTTCCTCCAGGTCTCCCATGCAGGTGCAGGATCCCAAGGCTTTGGGCCATCCTCTACTGCTTTCTCAGGCCACAAGCAGTGAGCTGGATGGGAAGGGGGGCCACAGCAAGGGGCCCTACTTGTAGGCTTTTCAAACCATTTATAACCAGGCATCATTAGATAACCTACTGCCAATTCTTAAGTAGTTTGAATGTAGGCAGGCAGAAGACTAATGTGACGATAATTCAAAATGTTGAATGAAAAAAAAAGAGAGAAAGCGTACACAAATTATAGACCCTGAGAGAAAAGCGGACAGGATGTGATGTGGGAAATCCAAGGGAAGCAAAGTGTACAATAAAGCAATAAAAGGAGACAGGGAATCTAGAGACCCTGGGAGCAGCTGAATGTGTTTATCCCCAAGCAGCCGCTCGGCCTGGCTCTTTCACTGCTGTGCTGTGCTTCGTGTTCCCTCAAGAGAATGATTTCTCTAAAGTCACGCTTTCCATAAAGTCACTTGCAAATGTGCTGGTGGCATTTAGCTTCCTTTAACCGCACTTACGGAAACTAAAGAATACGGAAAACATTTTCCCAAAAAAGAAATAACGTGGACAGAGAAAGGGTAGGGAGAAAGAAATTGGAGAAATTGTGCTGAGGAAGCGTAGATTTACTTGGCTGCCCTTTAATAAGAAAGCAGAGCTGGAGTCGCACGTGGACCGCGCTGGAGCCCAGGGTATAAGCCCTACAGGGGGAAAATATCAACACTTCCGGTTGCTGAGCTCAGATTGAATGTAGAAAGAAATGTTCACCTGTTACGTATAAATCCGCATCCACCCAACAGAGGTTTGGGAAATACAGATGCCTACATGCAAACAAAAGGGGCCCCCAGATAGTTCATGCAAATGAAAAAAAAATTCTTATTTTGATGTAGAAACATTTTAAAGATCAAAACCTTATAGAAAATGGTTTGATCATGGAAAAGTGCATGGCTCTCTTCTCTTTTTCTTTCTTTGTCTCTTCCTTGTTTATTTCTTCTTCCTTCTTTGTCTCTCACCCCACTCTGTGGACAAGCACAGTGACTCAGAGAGAATTTTCCAAACACAGCTTCACTCTCCAAATGTCCCCACCAGTCATGAACCAGCACATGTATGGGATGGGATCCCGGCACGTGCGAGAAGATTTAGCATCCAGGCTATCATGCCGGGTCCATCTTCTTCTCTGCTGTTTTAAAAGGGACTGTACTTACAAGTTCTTTCTCAGCCACAGAGTTATTTATGTATATTAGAGCCATTGATTTTGATCATTGATTTTTTTTCCCTGTTTCCCTTGTAAAATTCTCTCCTGAGTTCCAATAGTCCCTTGATTGAGTCCTTTGGTTCTCCTTTGTAAAAAATGATGTCATCTGTGATAATGTAATGTCCTTGTTTCCAGTTTGAATTCCGTTAATTTCTTTCTTGCCTAATAGTTCAAGTGAGGAATTGGGAAGCTGTTGAGCAGCAGTGGTGAAAATGGGTAACCTTATCAAGTTTCAGATCTTAGTAGAACAGCTTCTGATGTTTTCCTATTCAGAATGATGTTGGAATTGGAATTTCATGCAGCACTTTGATTGTTTTGTGGAATGTTCCTTCTATGCCTATCTTGATTAGGGGTTTAACATTAAGTGGTGTTGGATTTTTACCAAATGCCTTCTTTGCATCTAATGAGATGATTCTGTGGCTTTTATTCTTCAATTTGTTGATGTAATTTATCACATTTATTGATTTACATAGTTAAGCTATCCCTGCATGCCAGAGACAAATGCCACTTGGTCCAAGAGAATGATCTATCTATCTGATGTATTATTGGATTCTGATGGCAAGAATTTTGTTGAGGATTTTTGCATCTATGTTGGTCAGGGAAATTGATCTGTAGTTCTCTATTTTGCTTTCAGATGTAAATAGAATGTATGTTCATGAAGGTTTGTCTGAAACTTCAGGTCTAATACTGAGTGTGTTTTCCTGATAGTGCTAGGGTATCCTTATCTTTCTGGGATTGAAATCTTTCCAACTAGACCCTGCAGCGGTGGGCATCATGCTCCAGTTGCTGATGTAATCTTCATCCGTGATACCGTTTCCAGAGCATACGAGGCAGTCAGCAGATATTTAATTAGTTGTATAGTCTCCACCAATAGTGCTTTGAAAAATAATGGTTATTAGAGTTTTTCATGGGCATTCTTCCTCTTCAGTTAGGATATGATTAGTTAAATAGAGGTGCTGAAAGCGAGTATTGTGAGAATTGTCATCTCATTCAGAAAGAAGAATTTGCAACATGGATAACTGAGTCTATTTGTTCCAGTTTTCTATTATTTCTGCATGAGCTCTGACATCATTTATAATTTTTGAGAGCATTCATCTGAGGCAGCACACTGCACTGAAGTCGGAGGCATTAATGCATTCTTGCGCACGAAGACTGAGCAATGAAGAGCAGGTTACAGTACAGCATGCCTCGTTATGTGTTCCAATGACAGTCAACATTTTCTGGCTCAGAAATCAGTGACTAACAAATATTGACGATTTAAGAATCATAAATCTCATTTGTGAAGGCAAATTAGGTATGATCTCACGTTGAAATGACAGAAAATCTCTATAGTTTAAGAAATGAGTTTGTCAAAACAGTACCATCATATACACATCACTGAGCTGATTTTTCAAAGGGAACAGCATTCTTTGCTCTGGAGACTTTGGTGGATGGACTACAGGGATATCCTATTTTGGAGATAAATATATTGAACATTGTGCCTTCTGATTAGCAGACTTCCCATAATGCATTCTATTTAAGACAATAAATGTACATGTTGTTGATGATGATGGGTGGCGAATATTGATGACCTTGTGTAAATATCAGCCAAAAACTTTCTAATTATGTGATTATGGGCAAGTTTCTTCAAGGTTCTCAATGTTTGTTTATCCATATATTAAAATGAGAGGTACTGCTAATACTGAGCTTGTGTGGAGACTTACTAGGTTAACCTTTGGAAATACTGAGAATACGGTAACTGCACAATAAATGTTAACTGTTATTACCATTAAAGATATTTAAAATTCTAACCACTTCACATATCTGAAGTTACTTAAAGATTGACAAAAGTTTCTAGTGTTTTGTTTTTGGTCTCATAGTTCAGGTTAAGAGTCATCATTGGCAACTATCTCATATAATAGAAACAGTGTAAGACATCTTTGGCGATTGTGGTCTAGGTTGGTGGTAAAGAAACCTGCTCCTCACATCAGAGTGACCAATCCTGGCTTCCAACCCCTGTGTCCGTGTAAAGCACATCCCTGCAGAGGCGGAAGGGCTCCAGGACTCACACCTCCCACGCTCACTTGGAGTGTCAACCTGGATCAAGTTCCCAGCTCCAAGCCTTACTCCATGTCTGGCCCCGTAGGCGTCTGGGATACAGAGCTGTCCTTCTGCCTCTCAAGGTGTTACAAACAGACACATTATAAATCAGACTACCGGTTTTTATTTTGGGAATCCAATTGGATCTGTAGTATAATAACACATAACCCCTTCATGGGTGTTCATGTGTGTTTTTGTAAAAATAGCAAATTGTAAATTAAATTTTTCCCCTTTGTATTTGTTTATATTTTTGTTTTCTTTTTGTTTTCTTTTTTTTTTAATCTTTTGAAGCACAAATTTTCTTCCTCTGATCTGGCTTTGATAGCCATTTTGAGATGTGTTCTCCATTCCTAACCCTTCCCAAAGCCACTATTAAGGAATATTTTTACTGCTTGAAAAGATTTTAATATTCAGCAGGTTAAGAAAACTCATGGTCAGCTTTAGAATTTTAGTCTCTGCTGAGCTTTCAAGGTGTCAGGACCCTAAAATAATATGAACAGCAGGAGTACTAAATCTTTCATTATTTCCAGTTTCCCCTTGAGCATACTGACTTTGCAATAAAGAAGCTGTCATTTACACTCTTCTTTATTGCCAGGTGGGTAATAGCTACTGCGAAGGAAGAAAAAAAAAAGGCACTGTGTCAAGTTTGCTTAAATGCCATTCTGATTCATGTGTAATCATTGCACATTTGCATCTACTCTCTTGATATGCAGGTACTTCACAGATTGGAAGAGTGATGGGGACAGCTACTTTACAATAGATGAAACTGAAGGAACCATTGCCACTAATGAATTACTAGACCGGGAAAGCACTGCGCAGTATAATTTCTCCATAATTGCGAGTAAAGTTAGTAAGTATGGCATGGATGGAATCAATGTTACACTGCAGTTTCTTGGATTTACCACTCTTAAATGAGTCCCTGCTGAGGTGTTTTTCATTTCTAGACTGACAGCTGAGTGATCTCCTGGGGAAAGTTGGAAGAAACCTGTTCCTTTTCCTCATAGCATAAGTCCAGTGAAATGGTGACAGCTGCCAATGAGCCTGCTTGCTGTATTGCATAAATACCTGGTAGTGCATTTCATTGTGTGACCCATTTCCTTCCGCACTGCACTCTCAACACTTCTCTGGAGTTCCAACTTCTCTTTCATGCAGGACTCCTGTACATCTCATTAAGAGTTTCATAGCCCAGGCAGAAAGAAATAATAATATATCGATTCTGAAATACATTCTAAAATTGAACAGAACTTTTTTTTTCTTTAAACAGCATCCTCTTCCTTTTTTTCTTCTTTCATTAGAATGTACTTTTAGTAAGTGCTAGTATGGAATAGACAGGAGTTTACAGAGCAATTCTTTAGAGAATTGTTCACAATCTGTAAGATCATTAAGAATCATCCCTTTGTTGATTTCCGCTTGGTTGTAGAATGGTTTCCTGTGGACTGGTTGTGATTGCAGGTCCTATTTGGCTGGACAATAAAGGATATTATCAAAAATCTCTCATGAGACGTATTAGGCTAAGAGTGATAACCTTTGGCTTTTGACATCATTATATTTTATCAGTCCTTGCATTTATATTCTCTTGAAAGTTTTCAGTAAATCCCTTTGGAACAGCTTTCACTTTGTTCTCCTTGTATTTTGTTTTGTTCACATTTTATATTTTAGCAGGGAAAATGAGCTTTTCTGCACAGAAGAGTTATGGACGTTTTTGTTGGGAAATCTTGATCGGTCTCAAAAAAGAGGGAGTGTAAATATGAAACAGTTGTGTTTATCTTCAACAACTTCTATATGTGCATAGTCGGATATATTTTCCTAGATCTTAAAAATATTGCATTGTTATTTATTAAAACTAAGTTCAAATGCCTGGTTCAGTTGCCAGTGCTCCACACCAGGAAAAAAAAAAAAGATTCAATTCCTTACTCTCTTTACCAACTTCTTAAGAACACAGAATCTGGGAGATAGAATTAGCCCAGACGGCAGGGTTCCTCTCAGGTACACTGGAGAGCTGAACTGATTTCCTGGCTCCCTGGTCCAGTCCTGTTACAGCCCCAACACTTGTGGGAATTTGGCAGGTGATTAAGCAGATGGGACTCTCTGGCTGGCTGCCTCTTTCTCCTCTCAGGTGAGTGAATATAGTGTAACATAAAGATCACAAAGCTAATGTTTGTTTTGTGCAATGCTTGCCACACAGTTCCAATCTGTCATATAGGAAGTTTGAGTATCCCAAGATTGTCTTACTAAAAGGCTTCAATGTTGTCACACAAGTTGGCAATGTCAGGTCAGTTTCATTTGTCCAAGTGGAATTGTGAAATAGTTTTGGAGATGACAGCTCTGGGCATCCCATCTGCATTAGAGTTTGATGCAGATACTCAATAATGGACTTCACAGCTATTTCATCTTAGGATTCTTTTGTTACCTTCTTGCCTGAGTTAATCACATGGCCTCTCAATCAGTTTTCGGCTGTGTCCACTGATCTTAAAGATGTTTATACATCCTTATCATGTTAATGAGGTACATGTCAGGCTGCTGATCTGACACTTGTTTGTTTTTTTTTTTTCTACTTCAGCATCTCCGTGGCGGTCAACTCTTGTCACTCAGACTTTCAGAGATCATCAAATTAACTGACTAAGCAGACATCACGCAGAGAGAGCAGGATGTTGTTGCTTCCTTCTCAGAAAAACTTCCATCCCTAATTTCTTTGTTTGCCTGAGCTGTCCTTCATATTTGGCATCTTTCTTACCTTCCATATAGCACTTTATTGTAACTATACATGATAGTTTCCGTTTCTTTCTTGCTTTCATTTATGTGCTTCATTGAAATTTTAGGGACCCGATAATACATTGTAGAAAATTTCTTTGTCTAAGTAATCTGGTAACATTGTGAACCTGAGGGGTCTAAGTCATGGACCCTAAGACCCCTGTGCTTCACAATGCATACATTTCAACAGTTCTGACAGAATAACAAGGGATTGTTGACCAGAAGCAAGCTCTCCAAGTAACTTCTGTTTGTTATGGGCGAGTGGTGGCCTACACCCATTCTGGCTCTTGTGTGCACCAACAGCCTGCTCCAGGCTGTCCTACCCCCAGACAGAAATGGAATTGATGTACAGTTATTCTTAAATATGTCTAATCACTTTATCAATGGCTTTTGCATCTTATCATTTTGTATACAGTTCAGCTTATTAGACAGCTTAGTGATTAGAATTACATATAAAGAGTTTGCCTATGAACAAGAAAAGGTAGAAACATAAAATGTAAATAGCAAAATATACACTCACCAGTGTGGTCATGTCTGTCAGGTAGTATAGTCTTTTTTTTTAAGATTTACTTATTTTTATTGGAAATTCAGATATGCAGAAAGGAGGGGGGACATAGAGAAACATCTTCCATCCCCTGATTGATTCCTCAAGTGGCCGCAATGGTCAGAGCTGAGCTGATCCAAAGTCGGGAGCCAAGAGCATCTTCTGTGTCTCCCACACGGGTGAAAGGTCCCAAGGCTTTGTACCATCCTTGACTGCTTTTCCAGGCCAAAAGCAGGGAGCTGGATGGGAAGTGAGGCTGCCAGGTTTAGAACCAGCACACATATGGGATCCTGGCATGTACAAGATGAGATAGCCACCAGGCTATCACGCTGGGCCTCCGGTAATATACTCTTATTAAGCATATTCATTAAATATTCTTTTTTTTTGCTTAATAACAGTGATAATTCCATGTGATCAGCATAATGTCAACAGACAGCATTACAAAAAATGCATTTAATAAGCATTATTGCTAAGTGATATATAAATATATCACATGGAAACCATTTAGAAATACTTTAAAAGTACAACCATTTTCAAACGTTTAAATACTTTTGTTGGGAATTGATGAGTGAGCTATTAGCTACCTAAAATATAAATGCTCTGTGTTCTCCATCTGGATTGTCAATCATGTGATCATACATCAATTACTAGGATTACTTAGTGATAGGAACTAGTTAACTTAGACATGATGTGTTAACTAATGTTCAATTGTCAACCTTCGAATCAAGGGTAAAGTGTGGGAAGGAAGAGGGGTATTTAGAAGGTGCATTCAACGACAAAGGCAAAATATGATTCCCTCTAACAAAACTAAGCTAATCATAGATGGAGTGAAGGATGGCACATCAATGGTTAAGTAGCATTTGTCCTAAAAACGGATCAAGCAACAAGATGTGACTGTAGGTGAGTCATAATGATATATTCAAAAGGTATTCTCCCCTATTGCACTGCCGTTTCTGAACACATTTCATGTTTGAGGAGGAAGGCTGCTAGGTCTTAAAACAGAGATCTTCTCTGTAGGCATGGGATTTTCATTTGCTCATGCTGTATTTGGTGCTTAGGCTATGCTATAAATTATGTCAAGATTGCCTGGCTTACAATATGTATTATGTCACAGTTTCTGAGGATCAGCAGTCTTTGATTTTTTGTTTTGGTTTGTTTTTTGTAGTGGGTTATTGGACTCAAACGTCAAAATGTCCACGGTTATTTGGCCCAGACTTCGCTCAGCTCCATGCATCGTGAACCTTTCCATGAGTAATATAGTCACTGATTTACCCACACTGTTTTAAAAGGCAGTACTAGCAAGAAGACAGTCCTTGTAAGGAGCTCCATCTCAGAAATGATGTCTCATTACTGGTTCAGTGTTCTTTGTTTAGAAGCACAGCTAGATCAAGTGCATACACAAGGAGATGCACAAGAATGTTAATATCGAGAGGTGTGGATCATTGGGAAGCTTTCCAGAAGGTTGCTGACTGTGATGACCTGTTGGTACATACTTTTGTGTCTCAGTGCTCTTTAAGCAACAAGAGATGCAGCAAAAACTTTATTGGAAGGGCTATAGATCTCGTATTTTGCATGAATGGTGCCTTATATCAGAGAGAACATATTTGTCCTTTAGAGACTGACTTGGTTCACTGAGCATAATTGTCTCTAGTTGGGACAATTTGGTTGCAAATGATAGAATTTGATATTTTTGTTTTTATTTTCATTCATTCAAAAAATGTTTTTGTTTTTCTTACTAATTTCCTCACGGACTCATAGGTCACACAGTAGCATCTTTTGCTTCAAGAAGGTTTTTTATTTCCTATTTCATTTCTTTAGTAACACATTAACCATTCAATAGCATGTTATTTAACATAATAATGTTGTAAATTGTCTATTGTTCTCTGTGTTGTTGAGTTTTTATGACTTTTCGTTTAAGGGAATGTATAATAACTGTTTAGTACAGACCATCACATATATCTGTGAAGATGCAAAGCAGTGTTATGTCTCCACTTCCCGATCAAAGATGGACTCCCAATGAAACTGTTGAGTGAATCTTGCCACTAGGATGCTGAACTCTCTGCCATTACAGAGAGTTCACAATGTTGGGGTTCACTTACATAGTGGAATGATGGATTTAGGACTGATTTACAGGATTATACAATTATAATAACAAAGAGGATATTGGGGGGCAGGGATTTGGGAAGGAGGGAAGGTAAATGCCGGAGCCTATGGAACCGCATCGTGGAATTAAATAAACAAACGAATAAATATTTTTTAAAAATTTGAGAGATGCAATAATCTACCGAAAATTATTAATCAACATACAAAGTATTCTAGATAGAGAAGTGTTAAGTCTATTCTAGGAGGACACATAAACATAGTCTGTCAAATAGAATTGTTGTTTGAGATGTCTTTAAAAGACAAAAAGGACACAGTCATGGAGGAAAACAGATTGCGGTAGTTCCAGGAAATGTCTTAAGCAAAGGCATAGAGGTATGATAGTTTGGTAGAAATCAGACATTGCCAGGAGGGTAGTAAAGTTGGTGTCAAGGATATATAGAGGGAAATAAGGAAAATATTTTGCAGAAGGAACCCTGAGCCTTCATGCAACTGAGCCTGAAAGCCTTATTAAAAATTTACACTTTCCCCAGTAGGACTGTAAATCCAACTCTCATTGCCATTGCTTCCACCTGCGTTTCTGCAGCTTAAAATAGTTCCCAAAATGCCTATGAATTGTCCACATTTTCATTCCTATGGCATTGGAAAGTAGTTGTGGTCTTAAATTTGCATTCCTGGAAACCAGTGTACCAACCCAAGTGACCGTGGTTAACCTTCCCAGGGATTAAGTGACATGAGTCTACTCATGGATATTTCTCTTCCATAGTTTGGCCACATCTTTTTAAAAAATTATATTGATCAATCTGTGCATCTTGATAGAGAATAAAGGGCCTTGTAGTAGTCTTTTTTCCTACACTGATAATTCTTAGTGTCTCGGCAAATAGCATCAGCATTATAGTCAGGTGGGAAGATCTTGAAAGGAAAGGACATGTATTTTAAACAATATAAAGGACATGTTGCATAAGAATCTGGGGGAACATTACCAGTAAATTTACATTCTAACTTTATGCTCACTGGTTTGTTTTAATGGAGACGAGTCTGGTAGCCACCGTGTCAGCTTCTCAAGTGTCCTAAGGATAAGCTTAAGAGGAAATTCAATATCACGAAAGGTTGACTTTGGAGGACAAAATATAATCATTGGTCCATTTCATTTTCAAATTATTGTCATTTTTTCTGTCTAAAATTTGCCAAATAATTGCCTTTTTCCTAATTTTCTTTAATGCATTATGATGCATGCGTGAGTTTGTGTAGTCATATTTTATTTTCTAATCCTTTCTTTTTCCCAACTACCTACATGAAACTATCTTGTATTTTGAAAGAAAGATAATTTTGATTTATGATAGATTGGCATCATTTCAATAGTAACTGTGAAGACTGATACTTTGAAGAATCACTTTAAAAAGTTTTCATGATTTGCATAAACACTACAAGGTTTCATATACATGGAAATAATTGTCATTAACACCACCATAATCATCCACTTTAATTTAGAGAAAATGCCATTTTGTCACTGCATATGATATGCAATACAATAGAATCTAAATGTATGTTGTCATATTTCATATTTTATTTTAAACTTTCAAATGCTTGTGGGTATGCTATCATAATCAAACTACTTAGGAGTATTTTAAATCAATCTAATTGCTCCATCAAAATCAAATACACAGCATTAATGCCAGGCTTATCTTTTTCTTAATTACTATGATTTTCTTGGGAAATTAAGACTACATGATGAACTTTTTACTAAAAGGTTGAAACTTGGATAAAATATAACTTGTATACACTTACACAATTTTCATATCATATACTGATATATAGATTTGCTATAAAAATTACAAAAGAATTTAGATGAACATGTTATTTTATTGATGTCATATATCTGTGTATTAATCCTCATGATTCATAGTGAATTTCCTAGTGTCAAAAACCATGTGATCCACATTTGATGTATGTGGCCTCTTACACTCTATGTAATATACAGAATTATTTCATTAGATTTTGTTAAGAGTTTGAATAGCTTCATACCTCATTTTAAATGTTACATATCACAGGCTCTTAAATCGAAGTAAACTAGGCCTAAATTTTTTATATAACTTTTTACTATATTATTTGCACATTATAAAAGCACGCTTGTGAAATATGTAGCATTTAGGGAGAAGTCTCATTCCCTGTGAAAGAAAGGACATCCTCCGACCCAGTGCTTGACTGCTGAGATATGTGCTATTCTATTAACATTATTTTTAAATATGAATTACTAATTGTGCAAGCAATAGCTAACCAGAATTCTTAATCATTACTTCTCTTTTTATGTTTCCAACAGGTAACCCATCATTAGCCAGCAAAGTCAATATATTGATTAATGTCCTAGATGTCAATGAATTTCCTCCAGAAATATCTGTACCGTATGAGACAGCTGTTTGTGAAAATGCCAAACCAGGACAGGTATCTTATCAATGTTGTGAATAAGTAGTGTATCAAGACAAATTATAGTTATTATTTGAAATTACAAGTTCAGACATGAATATACAATCATGTATATCATTTTCTCAATCAGATGGCTTTCGAAGATAATCATAACAAATAACAAACCTTTGTGAATTAATGAGAGCATGGATATGGAGATAATATCATAGAAAATGATATTTTGGTTTTTTAGCAAATTATGCTTGGATAATTAAAGATCTGGGGTTTTGGATATTGCTGTGTTTCTACTTTTATGTTACTTTTCTAAAGAATTTGTTCCTATAGAAGCAATACTTCAATGCACAGGTTCTTTTTTTTTCTTTTTTAACATGTTTCTTTATTATCCAAAACCTGCGGAATGTCTGCAATGCTTTGTCCTCATTGAGTCAGAGTTGGTCTGGGAGGATATTCTCTTGGAGACAAAAGGGAAGAAAGGATAGCTGAAAGACACGATTGCCAGTGTTTTAGGTGTTGCTTAGGAAGGTAACTCCTACACAAAAGGAATGAACATGTAGCATGTTGAATGATTATCTGACATAAATAACAACTTTATTTGATTATTAGTGAAGTTAGAAGATCTTACAAAATTCCATCATCTGGCTGTTTTTCCAGACACTCAGTCACACCAAAAATAAAAGCCAATGTGTTGGGTTTTAGGCAGTTAGGAACACTATTAATTTCAATTCAATGAAATCTTGAAATCTTATAATGCTCCCCTTGAAAGCTTTTGAGAATAAAACTTCATTTAATGCTATGTTTGTCTAATCAATAAAAAGGACCAAAAGAATATTAAATGTGAAAGTTACCAGAAATCAAACTTATCATTTCGCTTCTGGGCAACATAGTGAGGAATCTGTTAGGTATGTTCTTCGGGGCCTATAAGCAGCAGCAACAACAATAAAATATCTGGTGGTCTTTGATATTTTACTCAATAAATATGTCCATTGTATTTTTAGAGAATGTATTATGAGAGCATTTGATTCCATTTTAGCCTGGCCATTCTGGTCTTGAATTTAAAACTATGCACATGAGCCATCTACCTATTGCATGTTACATGAATGTATTTATCTGTCTGACTATCCATCTATTTATCTGCCTACCTATCTACTTATGTTTATATAATTATGTACTGTGTATGTGCATAACCATCTGGAAAGCTAAATAAAATTCATAACTATGGGATAAAAATGTTAATAGATGAATTTCAACAAATAGAATGAAAGCTCCTATCATGTATGCTTCTCAGACTGGGACTAGGATACTGTACTGGAAATAGTAAAACCTTCCATGGCAAATTGTAATTTACTATAACAATGGGATCACCTGGTATATTAGCCTTCTTTTTATTATTTTAAGATGCTCAAGACAAATTCCTTCAGAAAGAAAATTTCTATTTCAATTGTCAGATTAGAGTTAAGGATCGGGTCTCTTGTAGGGCATTGCTTGTAGAGTTGGCTCTTGTGAATATGGAGATACTATCACGTGGTGAAACAGGTGGCAGAGTCAGAAAACCTAGGTTGAACTCAAACAATAATCAGCTATGTTAGGAAAACCACTCTTGGAGGGCACCCATCCCTCACCCCCCAGCATATTCAACACTTTCCACCAGACCCCCCTCACGTTGCCAAATTTAAATGAGGTCTTCGGTGATACTCCATCAACCAGTAAAAGGTCTGAGTTCTTACCACCTTTGGGTGTTTGGGGGTACCCAATTCCCTTTTAATCTCTACCACCTGGCTTGTACATTCCCATCACTCTCCCAAACATTTCTTGAAATTCTGTGCGCTGTGCAGGGATTTGGCATGTTCTACACATGCCTCCCAACCATGTTAGTCTATAATTCACTTTTAAATATTTGAAAGAACTTTTTGTTGAAATTCTAGGATTTCAATGCCAAGATATGCAACCGCTTAGAGGGCAATTTAGGAGAAATTTCAAAATGGGGATTGTAGTGCTTACTATTTTAAAACTGCAGAAGCAGAGTCTTGTTTCCATACAGCTGGGAGAAATAAAAATAACAACAAAGCAGATATATGTTCCTTATATTCTCTCTTTCTCATAGTTTTATTAATTTATTAAAACAAACCTTATTCTCATAAACATAACTGTACTAAAGTTTGGCTACTCTAAGACTTTTTAGCTAATCAGACATTTTTGTTTCCAGTAAGCATTTCCACTTTTAGGTTAGAAAGCATTTATTTCATCTAATTTAAAATGCAAGCAAGTGCATTTTAATTTCATTTTGCTTATTAGTGAGAATTTTCAATGCTGGTAAGCTTTTCAGTTATGCAGTTATTGCTTTGGAATTAGCCCTCTTCCTGTAATTGCACCTGAGATAATTACCTGTAAACATTCTGAGATTTGTTTATAAGTAATTGGGCTACTGATATTGATTCAAAGAGTGTCATTTCTGTCTCTTTGCATGCTTCGTGAAATGAACTGATTTGCTTGGTGTGTGAAGTTCTGTTGGAAACTGATGACTGACTTCAAGCTTAATCTCGACTTGGTTTTAGATCATTCAGATAGTCAGTGCTGCAGACCGAGATCTTGCACCTGCTGGCCAGCAGTTCTCCTTCAGATTATCACCTGAGGCTGCCATCAAACCAAATTTTACAGTCCGTGACTTCAGAAGTAAGTATAACCGTGGTGAAACTTGATCTCTGAACTTGATCTGTAGCAAAGGCCACAAACAAAGAGAATCAGTACTATTTTGGAAGGTGTGCTCAGTTTTATGAAAATGGAAATTCATATTCAGAAAGCCCAAAATTGTATAGCAGTAGCAGACTATTTAGTCCATAGAGACTGTATCTGATAAGGCAGAGAATGGCCATTGAAAATGTGGACAGTCTTGGCGGGGGAAGCACATTAAAGGATCTCTAGGAAAATGAATGACTTCCCTGCTGCAGATATGTCATTTTCTCACACACATAATATTTCTACAAATTAGTACCAGTTTAATAACTTTTACATGAATAGTATAGGTCAGAACAGTTTGAGAATTTGACCATCATAATTTTGCTGATAAAGATTTGCATTACCACTTTATGTTACCTAAATTGTTGCTCCTAAATGTATAAAAATAATTTCAACTTACAGTATCATTTTTAAATAAAATTGTGCATATGAAACATACACCAAAATGTCTAAAATATGTTACTGAAACTATAAATTTCATTTCCACTGCATCTTGGCTATGCTCATAGTTCTGTTATCCCTGGTACTGCTGGTAATATTGCATTAGCTACTATTAAAAAACTTCACAGAAGTATGAGGAACTGTAGATTAGAAATAAAGATGTTTTAGGGTCAGCATTGTGGTAAAACGAATTAAGCTGCTGCCTGCACTGCTGGCATCCCGTATGAGTGTCAACTCAAGTCCTAGCTGCTCCAGTACTGATCTTGCTTCATGTCAGTGTGCCTGTGAAATGATGAAAGATGGCCCTCTGGGAGGCTATAGCCTGTCTGTCTGTCTCTCTCTGTTTCAGATAAATAAGATAAACCTTCAAAAATAAAGACATGAAGAAATTTCTCAATATGTGAAGGGAATGTGTATTGGTAATTCCATGTTAAATTAAAAATATCGTAAATGCAAAAAAGTTTAATCTACCTAACCTAAGAAATATTACAGCTCAACTAACCTAATACACATGATCCAGATGTTTGCATTAACCCAAATGCATCAAGATTGCCAATTACAAAACCTTTTTTATAATGAAAATGTCAAATGTATTATGAAATGTAATTGATATTACATTGAAAGTAATAACAAAACAAAACCCCAAGGGTTGTGGAAGTACACATTTGTATCATAAAAATTTTCAGTATAAATCATAAATTAAACCTTCATAATGATTTCGAGTCAGAGCAACACTCGGGAAATAGGATTGGATAAAACGATTAGGCAATGTTGTCACACTATCTAAAGCCATTCAAAGAGGTAATAACTTGATTGCAGTGGTTGTACTAGAATTTGAAAGGCTTAAGCAGGTGTATAGATGTTCATATTTACAGTGAATGTAAATTAATATAAATAAAAGTCTGGAAACAGCGTGAAGATACAGCAGGAAGATCACACCACGTCGAGTACCTTTGCAATGGTGAGTCTTAGATTGGAGCAATTACTGAGGACAGAAATAGGTAGATGAAAATAAAGTTATGGGGCTTGATGTTCCAGTTGCCAATTCAGTATGTGACTATAATGGATAAAAAAATTAAACTCTATAGGCTTATGCGAGTAGATAGATCATTTTATTGTTCATTAATGATTAACACTGTTTTCTATCATTAATCTTGTCTGAGAGATCTGTATCAGAGTAAGCATGTCTATGAATGAGAACATCTTATCTCATACAAGATACTCTCTCTAAATATTTTTTGTTTATTTGAAGTGTACGCTGACTGAGAGAAAGGAAGAGACAGAGATCTTCCATATGCTGATTCACTGCCCAGCTGGCTGTAATAACTGAAACTGGGCTTTGCAGAACTCAGGAGCCAGCGCCTCCTCCAGGTCTCATACATGCGTGCAGGGGCCAAGCACTTGGTCCACTCTGCAGATTTCCCATGCGTATTGGCAGGAGCTGGAGCCCACAGGGAGCAGCTGGGACTCAAACTCGGGCCTACATAAGATGCCGATGTGGAAGCCGGCTGCTTAACTCACCACACCACAGTACTGGGCACAGAGAATGCTTTCTCAATGAGTAGCACTTGATGCAAAATTCCGCATGTCATTGACTGTATTTCCTTGTCTTTAACATAAATTAAATTCTAAGCAGAAGTTTGTGTGTGTGAAAAATAAATCCGGAATGGAAACATGAGCTCTTTATTTTCATCTTGGAAAGCACAACAAATGGATAAGAATAGTTTTCAATATGTGTTAACTGAAAAATCAATGAGACAGGGCTGCCTTTGACACCAATGGAATTTGTAATATAAGAACCCATATTCTTCTAAAGGAAAATAATCCAGATTTTATTTATATTAATTAATTTTAAACATGACCTTTTCTCAAGATTTATTTATTTTTATTGGAAAGTCAGATTTACAGAGAGAAGAGTGACAGAGAGAAAGATCTTCTGTCCACTCATTTACTCCCCAGGTGACCCCAATGGCTGGCGCTGACCCCATCTGAAGCCTGAATCCAGGTGCCTCCTCCAGGTCTCCCAAGTGCATGCAGGTCACTAAGGCTTTGTAGCATCCTGTACTGCTTTCCCAGCCAAACAGGAACTGGATGAGAAGTGGAGCAGCTGGGATACAAACCAGCACCCCAATGGGATTCTGGTGGTTACAAGGCAAGGACTCCAGCCACTTGGCTACACGCCAGGCCCTCAGCATGACTTTTTCCTTCAACTGGAACCATCAGTTGCTAAAGATCACCTTCAGCTTCCTCTGTTCCTCAGTTGTTCCAGATACCAAAAGTCGCTGGCCTTGCTAGCTCGTGCTGGGGACATTGCAAAGGACACCTAACATGCTGACGGTTTCTTCCTTAATTTTAAAGTCTCTCTTTGGATTCAATAACAAACTAATTTTCCCATAGCAAATCATAATTATATTACATAAAATATTCTCACCTTAGTAAAATTTATTGCAGTCAGTGTAGAAAAGCTGGCTAAAATTTTTATTGTTGAATTAAGAATCCATAAATAGAAGAATTCATTATGATTGAAGCAGTGCCATGTTTCTGTAAGAACTATCCTGTAATGAGTAATATGCTACCAAGGTTTATTTTGTTGGAATTTCCAAATGTGTGCAGTCAGTGGTTAGTATAACTACACATTGATATGTTTCTAAAGCAGCAAGGGGATTTTTTGAAGTTACTTGGAATAAAACAAAAAAGGAAACCATGTAATGAATAAAACAAAACTTTGTCTTTTATGTGTAGAAATAAAATAAGAGTAAATGCATGCGGAAGAACATTTTCCTAGAAATGATCAATTCAATTTACACAAAACTATTTTATATAATTGTATTGCCTTTCTAGTTATGAATGCTATAGATCAGTGAGAATTACATTAAAATGGCAATTGTTATAATTCATTGACTACAAAAGTTTTAGTGTGTTTTGATACAGTTGATTTTTACTGTATGTTAAAGTATAAATCCTATTGGAGCTACTTTAGACATTTGTATTTCATAATCTGTGCTCTTTTACTATGTGCGGGAACATCCACAAATGTCCTTTTATCTCAGTAACATTTTCATTTTAGGAAACACATATCTACACGAAGCATTTCTTGCCTGTAAATCATTCTATGTTTTCTCTGAATTAGAAAAAAAAATACTTCTGACACCAGACAAGAAGAAAATTGTTTTTCATCCCCAAAGGATTATTTTATTACATTTGATTACATTTGGCAGCTCTCATAATGATAAAAGAAAGAATTAAAATAAGGGTGTGTTCTTGTGATTCAAATGCTCTTCCTACTGTTTTGTTGGTATAAACTTGAAGACCTGAAATGAAAATCTGAGTAACCCTTTTGTCCCACATGTCATGTTTTGTAGACAACACAGCTGGGATTGAAACCCGAAGAAACGGATACAGCCGCGGACAGCAAGAGCTGTATTTGCTCCCTGTGGTAATAGAGGACAGCAGTTACCCTGTGCAGAGCAGTACAAGTACAATGACCATTCGGGTCTGCAGGTGTGACTCAGATGGGACCATCTTATCCTGCAACGTGGAAGCAATTTTTCTACCCGTTGGACTGAGCACAGGGGCTCTGATTGCAATTCTACTATGCATTGTCATCCTACTAGGTCAGTTTTTAAATTAATTGCATCCCTCATCTCTCTTCCTACTTACCTTTACTCTTATTCTCTACTCTGTCAATCTCCCACCTCAATTTACCATGTAAGTCCATTTTTATTCAATGAGATGTCATATCTAGACTTAAGATAGTCTGTGTTGTTACGTCGTATTAGTTAGTATTGCCTTCTGTACCTCAGAGGTACACAACAGCGCTTCCAACTGTTGTTAGAAATTGGATTTCAAAGATGTTTCTTTTGTTGCCATAATAGTAGAAATCCATGTCCTAATATGTTTGTTGATCACGCACATTTTAACATGTTTTTGGAAGATCTATCAAGTATTATTAGGAATAAATAAATAATATCAGCAAAAATGTGAAAAGTATGTTTAAATGCTAGATGGTTTTCAGGTAATGGCAGTTTGTGTCCTTGTCATAGTGAAATTCCCTATACTGAATAGGCACTAACAATAATAGTTTTTTAAAGTTATGTTATAGTAATTATTGCATAATCAGAATGGAAGAGAAAGGATAGAAATGAAACAGACTCTAAAAGGATACAGAAGTTTATTCATACTGTGTTTAAACTGCCACCCAGAGGTAATTCTTTCTCGTGTTTCCCCCCACATCTTCCCAAGTGTAAATTTTAGTCATTCCCACTAGAACGGAACAGAAGGAAGAAGTGCGGGATTTAAGGAGAAGACGGACATGATTGTGTTCTGTTGCGTCTCGGTGCGAAGGGACACCATCAACTGGATGGTTTCCCTCGTCCATAGTTTCGGCTCGGCTACTTCATGTCACTTATGAACTCATTGCAGAAAGATGATCTGTTCTGCCAGTCATTCTTTTTAGAATCAGAGAGCAACAGAAATGAAATTGGACATTTTGAAATCAGTTTTCATATGCATATTTACTATTCAACCAGAAAATATGTAGATTCAAAGAGACATGTGCGTTTATATCTAGGATAGTAATCAAGATTTGTTTTCTAGATTTTTGTTTGTTTGCAATGCAAAATGGGAAAGAGAGGGGCAGTAACAGTTGAAGAAAGAGATAACTTCTACCTTCAGTTTCATCCCCCAAATGTCCTCAAGTTCCAGTTTCCGGAACACCCTGAAGCCAAGAGCCTGCCCCTCCCTGTGTGACATGCTCCCAAGTACAGCAGTTGCCATCTGCAGATCCCAAGATGCATTCATCAGCAGGAAGGGAGGTGGAGCCCCATCCTAGTCACACTGAGCCACAGCAACCACCTGGAGATGGAAAATTTAAAAATATATATACATATATTAGGATGTAAAATAGTTGAAATATATGTTCCTCTGTCATGCTTCCATGTAAACCTAGCAAGACTTGTTCTGTTTGGGGATGTTCTTCCTTGGCAATGTTTGTTCTATAATGCAGCAAATACCTGTCAGGGCATCACTACCCGCCCCCACCCCCGACACCTGCCTGCCACTCACTCATCCAAATACTCCCTGAATGTTCCGGTTGCACCTGCACTGTTGTAGACATTGGGAATGTGCTGGTATACATAGCAGTGAATAGAAACATTGTCTGCCTTGCCACAAGGCGTACATGTTGACCCATACATTCTTTGTCCCCCTGAACCAATCTCAGGCTCTTTTGGGTCTTTAAACTTGTTGTCAGCCATTAATCTTCTCTTCCTGGGGCAAGGGAAAGCTTGGGAATTTTCTGATGCTCAGTTATTTTTTACTTAGCTTTTGGACACTGGAAAGCAATTATTTTCTTCACGTTAGCAACTCTAAAATATAACCTGCTTTTTGTTAGGGCTAAGGTCTCCTGTTTGTTGTGTAGACAATTCTATTCAATTCTAGAAACCTTTGACACTTTGAAAGGAATTAAAAGAAGGAGCCAGAAAATTACATTCGGGTGTGTCGTGTGGGTGATTGAGGTCCAGGCACATGGACCGTCTCCCTCTGCCTTCCCAGGTTCCTTAGCGAACAGCTGGATCAGAAGAGCAGAAATGGAGACTTGATCAGGCAGGGCTCAGGTGTGCCATTTGGTGTAACAGACAGCAGTTTAAACCACTGTGCCACAATTTTGGGCCTAGTAGGCTACTCTAAGTCAACAAGGAAGAAAGGGAGATTTCATTAAGGAAGGTGTAACAGTTGGCGTTTAAAAGCATCATTTTGCTTTATGAAATAATGCAAATTCTAGGCATTGGATTTCAAAAATTGTCCAATATTGCTGGACACAGAATTGAAATATTAAAAGTTTATGCTTATATGATACATAAGAAATCGAACTCCTAAATTCTACAAATCCTTTTTTCTTCCTCCCTCGATCTGTTACTTTCTTTCTTGAGATGATTGTCATAGTGAAAACTGTAATTTCTTTTTTTGTTTTTTTTTTAAGATTTTTTTATTGGACAGTCAGATATAGAAAGAGGAGAAAGACAGAGAAGATTTTCCGCCAAATGATTCACTCCCCAAAAGCTGTAACAGTCAGAGCTAAGCCAATCTGAAGCCAGGAGCAGGCCGACTCTCCCAGGTCTCCCACACAGGTGCAGGGTCCCAAAGCTTTTGGCCATCCTTGACTGCTTTCCGAGGCCACAAGCAGGGAGCTGGTTGGGAAGCAAGGCTGCTGGGATTAGAACTGGAATGCATCTGATGTGCTGGCACGTGCAAGGCAAGAACTTTAGCCACTAAGCTATCATACTGGGCCCCTGCAATTAACTTCATTAGGAACACAAATCACTAATTCACAATCAAGAATGTTGCAATTAAGAAATGGGCTATGATTATGTCTAATTGTTATTTATAGGATACCGTTAATATTCAAACTTTTTTATGTCTACCCTTAAAAGCTCGCACTCTGCATTGTTAAACACTGTCCTTTATTTGCGCTGTAATAACATGGAGCTTTTTTTTTTTTAACTTGACCCTAGCATTCTTAAATACAAGGCTACAATTGTTTGATTTTAATAATTTTGGTGTGGAATTTACGTGTTACAGTTTCCGGAAAATACAAATATGCAAGTCTATCGATTGCATGACCCTGAATTTGAAAATAACAGTTTATTAAAACTCAGCAAGCTTCAGTGGACTTTCATTTCTAACAAGTGGTGGGCTGGCAGATCCGCTGTGTGGTCTCACGTTGCCCCGTTTCTGTCTCGCTTTAGCCATCGTGGTGCTGTACGTAGCCTTGAGAAGGCAGAAGAAGAAAGACACCCTGATGACGTCCAAAGAAGACGTCAGAGACAACGTCATCCATTATGACGACGAGGGGGGCGGCGAGGAGGACACCCAGGCTTTCGACATCGGCGCCCTGAGGAACCCGAAGGTGATGGACGAGAACAAGCTCCGCAGGGATATCAAACCAGACGCCCTCTGCGTGCCGCGGCAGAGGCCGCCCGTGCAAAACACCGACATGAGGGATTTCATTCGTCAAAGACTGCAGGAGAACGACGGGGACCCGGCGGCGCCGCCCTATGACTCCTTGGCCACGTACGCCTACGAAGGCAGCGGATCGGCCGCCGAGTCGCTCAGCTCCATCGGCTCCGACAGCACCGAGGCCGACCAGGACTACGACTTCCTCTCCGACTGGGGGCCCCGCTTTCAGGTTTTGGCAGACATGTTTGGCGAAGAAGAAAGCTGTAACTCTGATAAAGTCACCTAGAGGCGATGCGAAGGCCGAAAGACATCAGAACAAAGCAATGTTAAAACAGAAAAGGAAATCCAAAAGAAATAACACACACACACACACAAGCTCCTTTACACGATGTTGTTCCTTTGACTCTGATTTCTAGCAAGTCGTTGTATTTATCATGTTTGTCAATTTTTGGTTTATTCTGCCGACATAAGATAAATCCTCTTAGATGCACTTGCTTCGTTTGGTTTTTATTATTTTTGGAAACACACTGAGAGAAGCTCAGGCTTATAAACAGAATTTACTGACATGACAACCCAGGACGGAGCGAACTATTTGGCATCACGGTGGAAGAGTGTTAGATTTTTCTTAATTCCACTAAAGTGCCTATTGAAACTCTTATCATTTCAAGTGGTGTGTACGACACTCTGCTGTGATGGTGTTGCGGGATTCAGAGAGAGAGGAATAAAACAGACGCCCTCCCGCGCCGAGGAGCAAGAGCTACAGCTGACTCTGCATTCCTGCTCAGACACGAAGACCACTCCTTCTGAACTCCAACTTCCAATTCAAAGGCATTTCCTTCTTTTGTAAACCGTATGCCTCAACCTATTTGTTTTTCCTACCCTTTCAGAAAAACTGAAATAAATGTGATCATATAAAATTCAGTATGTACGTCATGAATTCTAAAAGTGATGTTTGATCCTATCATTACTTCATATTAAAAGTGTTCATTGAATGTTACTTTTTCTCCAAAAAAAAAAATAATAATAATAAGGAAATTTAAAAAAAAAACCTCCTTGTTTATAAAGAGAGGCCTCAGGATACAAAAGCCACATTAAAATAAATATTGGTTTTGTTTTAATACTGTATTGGTGTGTGGAAAATTGGTTTTAAACTCACTAAGCCATTTAATCTCTTAGTCATAATAAAATTGCAAATTGTGTTTCTATGAAAACTTCAGAGGGAACAAACAGCCGTTATTCTAAACAGTGGCAGAAAAATGCCGAGCTGCTCAGTGTCTCTTCCAACTGAGTCCGTCTTTGGTGAGAAATGCTAGTAAAAATCATATCAAAATATTTAGCATTTCTAAAATACCAATTATTTGTCAGTGAAAACAGTAAAAATTAAGAGTTTGCAGGAAATTCAAAGCAATGACTAAATCCTAAAATGAACATGAGTGCAAAATCAGGCAACTTACTAAGTTAACTAATATGGCCTCCAGCTTTGTTAATATTGTTGCATGAGAATTCAAAGTTCTCTCTTTGGTTGCTTGTGGAAAATATTCCTATTAGGTACATCTTCCCTAGAAAGAACTAGATGCAAATTTCTGTGAAATACTGGATTCCGTAAGTATTTTAGTGAACTACTCCTGTATATTACTTTTACGTAGCTTGTACACTATCTAGAAGCACATCACACACAAAAATGAAGACTTATTACGAAATAATGTATTTCTCAATATCATGCTTAAGTAGCTGCTAAAATCCTGACACTATGTATAGGGATAGAATTGGAGTACTTACAGGTCCAACCTGAAGGTATAGTCAATATTCGGGCTTATTTCTGAAATACTGATGTGTGTAGGCATATGTACTCTCTGCAAGATTGCCAAAGTAAAACATACGTGGGAAAGACAAGTCAGTGATAACATGACTGATTGTTCAAATTATTTTCAATTCTATTCTTTCATGTATGCTTGTTTTACCATTACTAAAGTGAATTCTGCATGTGGGCAATGCAGCCGTTTGAAGCTGCACCTCTCATGCCTTTCTTTGACAGCCCCCATTGGCATGCTCCTCCTAGCCAGGATGACCGCTGGCCTTGTTCTCTTCAACATGTCACCCTGATTTTGCCTCTGACTCATCCCTGGGAATTGCATTGTAATATGCAATCGTTTCCAGGACAACACGCTTTGGAAGGTATTCACATAATTTAAAAATATATCAAATCATTTCATAATCCTTCTGGAAAGAGAAATTAAGGTAACTTTTGGAACTATCCAAGCAACCTATGTACTATGCAAAGATGATGCACCACCCTGATGGTGCACCCATCTGATAGACAAGAGGCCTCTCGTTAAGAGCTACTGCATTTTACAGCTTGCTGAGAATTTATCTGTGCACTGCCTTTTGCATCTTGCTAAGACTCTGTCTCTGCACTGCTATATCATATAACACCAGTAGTGTTGGCATAAAAAAATGAGAGAGACAAGTCATTTCACACCACATGACTTAGCAAAGCTATTAAAATGACAACTCTTATTTTCACCAAATGCATAGACCTTCTTCAGTACCTCTGCCTTTTGTCTTTGCAGCACCACTGCCTTTCGCTGTCAAGGCTGCTAAAACAAAGTACCACACGATACAGCAGAAATCGATTTCCTCATCATTATGCAGGCGAAACGGCCAGTATCGCCGTGGCAATAGCTTTGGATCCCCTAGGAGAGCCTTCTCCCTGGTTTGTCACACCGCTTTCCCTGTGTGCTCAGCCCTGTGTCTCTTACAAGGATATTGATAATACTGGATCTGTGCTTATGTGGAGAGCCTCTTTAAACTTATTTTTTATCTTTAAAAACCTTATCTCTGAGCACAGTGGAATTTTGTGATTTATAAGCATTCCGAGATGACAAACTCAGCTTACAACAACCGCACAGATGTTATAAGCATTTTTTCCTCCAAAAGCATGTCATCGACAACAAACAAACAAATATATAGAAAAAACTAAAATGGAAATAATTTTAGATAACAATGGAGAGCCAAGGGAGGGATAACATGAAAAATCGATCGGTGCTTGAAAGTGGGAACTGAAATGGATATCTGCTATGCTATATCAAGCACTAGTCATATTATTTTAATTTTTGTATTATAATTGGATATTTTATTATGAATAATACAGTTTCTGGCCTTCATTCCAGTAAGAAGCAATATAAAGATACTTAGTATTTATGGGAGAATTTTTGCCTATAAACAAAAAAACATGATTTTGTTATTGTCTTGCATGTATACCTTTTTAAAAGTAAATATGAAATGTAATATGTTTGCTATTTATACATTTTTAAAGTATCACTATAAATTGTATTCAGTGAAGCAGCAGATCAATGCATGAGAGTGGCCCTTGTGATTGTATACTAGAAAAAATATAAATTTACTTTTGTACCAAAAATTATCTCTGAAGAGAAACATTATAGTTTCCAGTATTTTGTTCCTTTTGGTAGAACTAATTTGTTGAACCATGTGTTGTTTCAATTTCCTCCAAAAGTTCTTGACTCTTAAACTTTAGCTATAATCATTGGTATTCCATTTAATAGTTTATGTAAAGTGATCAAATAAAACATACAAACTCAGATATTTTTAAAACTCAAGGTAAAACAACCAATCTTTGAATTCTGGAATTCACTGATCATACTCTAAATTCCCTCCACTTCTACCATGTAAAATAAACCATGCAATTCTTTTTGAAGTGCGGGTATCAAAATTATTCAGAAAAGTCAAATGGAAGAGAATGAAAAGGAAATGATAAAATAGCTACAATCCAGACCTTCAGTCACGGATTGACAGGAAATTAGAGGGAGAAAAACTCAGGAGAGTTCTCTGTAGAAATCCTTAGAAGTATTACAGCAATCATTGCATTCAAAATTGTGATTTCTAAGAGCAAAAGTAAATACACACACACTGCATTTGAAGTGGTCCATACACCATGGCAGAGTTCCAGAGAGTCAGTAAGTGAGCAACGAGCCTCACCCGGCTCTCTCGGAGAAGAGGATATGCATGTTGTGTGCGTGTGTGTGTGTGCGCTCGCGGGGTGATAATTTGTAAATTACTTCTTCATTGGAATCTTCATTTCCCATTCTTATCCATTATATAGTCTCAGAGGGTCCATTATCCTCATTTGCAATTATTCTTCCTCAATATTTTGAAAATGTCTTTCTATGATATTCTAGTATCTGATCCAGATAGGGAGATAAAAGAACAGCCATGTTCAGTCTTCCTCTCTGCATGATATGGCTTTTGCACTCAGTGATTCACACTCTTTCCTCACCCTTATCACTATGTAATCTCAAAAAATGGGTCGTTGGTCATTCCTAGGGTTTTTTTTTTTTTTCATCATGGAGAAATTGAATTCTCGCTTTTGAGTGGTGTCCTTGTTTTATGATGGATTGCTACCCTGGATTTTTTTGATCTTTTGCTTTTAACCCTAAATTTTTCTGTTTTCTATGTGTTTTTGATTCAAGGGCAGGGACAGGACACAAGATGTTTTGCATGTAATAGTTCATGTTATTTTCTTCATTTTTTGTAAGAAATGTATTGGAGAGGCAGAGTTACACAGAAAAAATGAGGACATGCATAAAGGGCTAGATAGGGGTATGATGCAGAGATACAGGGAGATCACACATCTGCTGCTGTCCCCACTGCTCCAACGGCTGGGGATGGGCGAGCCGAGAGCTAGGACCCTGGGGCTCCATCCACGTCTCCCATGTGGGTGATGGGGCTGCAGTAACAGCATCTTCCACCACGTTCTCAGGCATATTACCTAGATGAGAAATGAAGCGCAGCAGCTCAAACCAACACTCACCTGGGATGCCAGTGTTGCTATAGGTTTAATCTGCTTCGCTGCTTTCCAACCCCTGATTCCATTTTCTTAACTAGCATTTTTGTCTTGTAGAACTTTTCATCCATATCTTCAATTCTTTTTTTAATCTCCAAAGTATTCTGTTCTTTTTCTTATGTATACTTTTTTTGGTTGCAGATTTTATATGCCTTTCCCGACTTTTCAGATGTTTTTAGCTGTTTTTTTTTTTTTGGTTTTGTTTTGTTTTAAGATTTATTTATTTATTTTTATTACAAAATCAGATATATATAGAGAGAGAGAGAGGAAGAGAGAGGAGGAGAGACAGAGAAGAAAATCTTCCTTCTGATGATTCACTCCACAAGTGACCTCAATGGCCGGAGCTGCGACGATCCAAAGCCAGGAGCCAGGAGCCAGGAGCCTCTTCTGGATCTCCCACATGGGTGCAGGGTCCCTAGGCCTTGGGT